ATATATTATTTTATTATCATGTCTTTTTAACACCTAAGTACATACTTGATTAAATATTTTCGAAACTTAATAATATTTGGAAACAAAACAAAATAAATCTTACAAGGAAAATATAATGTGATAACCCTTTAATTTTAATTTTTATTTTAATGACGATGAAAGTTTGAATTTTAAAATTTCAAGTAAATTATTGTGTTAAAAAATATTAAAATGTTTTAGGTAAACAAGTTTATTCTGTCTAGAGTTATTTCTATAAACCAACCAATCAATTAAACCTAAATAAAACTTTTTAAATAGCTTAAAACTGTTTTTAACTAAATAAATATTTTATAAAATCTTAACCTGACTTATTTTTCTGAAATTTCTAACATCAGACATTTTATAAATTAGGTCATAAATCCCGATTAAATAGAACCTTTCATAACTTCATGTAAATTCAGACTACTGTTTGTGATGCTATTTTTGTGGAAACCGATTCTAGGTTGCAGCGAAGTTCTTAAACAAGGGATACTTTAAACAATATTCTTCTTATTCCTTAGTAAATAAAGTTGTAAGTATGACCTGAAATAATCATGAGATGTCTTATTATCATGGTTATAAAGAAGTAAATCAAGTTACAAATAACTTGAAAAAACTTGATCTTCAATGTTGTTGTTAAGAATGATTTTTTTTTTAGTTTTTTAGTCCACCTTCGTGGACTCATTTTCTTTTATTTGCAAATGTTTTTGTGATTTGTAACTTGTGAGCTTGTTTTGCCGCGAAATAAAAAGAAAAGAGAATGGAAGCTTCCCTAAATACTATAAGCTTATTTGTTTAGCATTACTCATATATATATATATATATATATATATATATATATATATATATCTATATAAAACATTTTACAATAACTGAATGTTACCCCGCTTTAACTTTCTCAATTAAAAATTCTTTACATCCTCTCTTTTCCTTTTTATTTTTTCACATCTATTTTCCTTTCTTACCAAATACATTTCAGACATTTTCTTCACAATTAATTAAAAAACATCTCTATAAGTAGTCCTCAACTATCCTCTTTTTTATCTTTATTTACATGATTTTCTTAATTATACATTTCAATTTAAAACATATTCACAATTTAAATTTAAATTTATCACAATTATAAGATATAAATTACAAGTTTAAGTAATTGCTACTATGAATTTCAATTAATATACAATTTAAAAATTATTTATAATAATAATTATATAAAATTAAATACTTATCCTGTAAAAACTAAATAAACAAAAACACTGTACCAATAAATTGACAATCATAAGCACATGATAAAGAACACAAATAAGAAACGGAGAGTCCCGTATTTACAATTAAGTGCAAAATTTCATGGCTAATCAACTAATTTATAAACAACTTTGACAATAATCCATTGTACAAGACGCCTTGCAAGAGCAAGCCCCAAATATTTATTAATTGATAAGAATTAGTTTTTCGGAACCCACCCTAATCCCCACAGAAAACAAATAATGTGTGGACAACGAACGATATATACTGATGCAATGATTTCAATTTTCAGCAGCTCTAAAAATAGTGAGTAGAGACAGGAAGAGGTTGATGATGTCCAAATACAAGGAGACTGAAGCCCAAATGTATTCATCGTAGGAGTATCTCTTGATCAAGTTGTCTGTGTCATATACGATGTAACCACAAAATATAATGGCTGCCAAGCACCCATAGATCATCACAGATAACTTGCCCAGTGGAAACAGAATCTGCAACAAAAAGAAAATGTTATACAATCACATAGTACATAAGAAGCAACAATGTCCGAAGATACCTGAATTATTGCAAAGACCATAAGAACTAGCACAGCACCAAACAAGAAGGGGCCAAGAAAGTTGAAATCATAGCCTCTCCTTGCAGCCCAAAATGTGTAGAGAGTGAGACCGATCACCACCACAGCGGTCAATATAACAGCTTCCAGAATAACTTTCTCTGCATCAAATATCCAATGTCATGGAAAATAATATCAGGACCATATACAAGTAGGCAGTTTTCACTGAAAAAAGCAACTTAACTCGTGACAAAACCAAGATCTCAAATTGGGTTCCAGGAGTGGTTTCATTGTCATTTCCCATTGCAGAAATGGTAGTTATTCAAAAACTGACATATATGGGAACAATCCAATCTCGCAACTCATCCCACTTCCAGCGAAAGGAAGTAATCATCGGTACAGTAGTCTAAACTTAGAAACTTAATGTAGCCACGAAAATAAGTTTTAACACATTGCCTTGGCTTGCACCCAGTCATCATACATTAATCTCTCCAGCACAAACGACACAGGGCATTGACACACGCATGAATAATTAATAATTGGTCATAGCCAACATCTTACTTTATACTTTATAAAAGAACATATTAAACCAGAAAATAAATAAATTCTATACTTTATAAAAGAACATATTAAACCAGAAAATAAATAAATTCATTTAATGTCTTGTTTTAGAAATAGAAAAGGCATGCAAAGCAGTGTTTAATTCGTATACACGTTCAATGTAAAAAGGTTTAGACTATCCATCAACCAATCAAAATTCATTTAGTACAATTTACTCTTCAATAAAAAAGATATTTAGAATTATTCAACGCTCAATGACGTACATGCCACAAAGTCCCAAATTGTATATCAAGAGTAAACCCAATTTTCCTTAGTCCATTGTCCCAAATTAGACAAGAACACATAAAAGTAAAAGTTTTTAACCACAGAAGCCAAACTCTGACAGTGTACTTGATTCCCAGAGCAGGAGAGGAGAGAAGGAAGGGAATTCCAATTTCAACCATTAAATAAACCACGACAAGAAGAAAAAGCAACTTATCTTGGCAATTAAATAAAATGAAAACAACGAAAGCAAAAGTAAAATCGAAATCGAAATCCAGAAGAAAAGAGAGGAAACGATGAAACTTACCACTAGTAAAAGCGCAACTCAATCCAACGACAAAACCAAGAGACACAGTGAAAACCCCAAGGAGTAGGTAATTAACGGGATGCTTCTGGTAATAATAGTAAAGCGGACATAAGGCTGCAAAGGCACCACAATAATTAAGATAAATAATTTGGGTATTTCAAAAATGAAATCAGAAGTAATTAGGTCAAGAAACGCACTGATGAAGGGGACAAAGATGAGAACGATGTAGAGAGCCAAGCCGGCGCCGGTGGTGGCGAAGAAGAGGCTGATGGGGCGGACGGTGACGACGACGGCGCCGACGACGATGGTGACGAGTAACTGAACGGCGATGATGGAGTACACTTTCCGGATGAAGGACCACCGCAGTTCGGGGCTTTCCAGCATCATCGGATACAGAGGCCGAGCACCGCCGCTCTCCAAATCCGTTTTCCCGAATGGTTGGTTCCACATCTTGACACTGCCACGATGAAGAAGCTCACAGAAAGTGATAAGAAATTAAGTTATTTAGGGTTTTTAGATCTTCGTTGCGTGCGTGGAATGAAGATGCTCTTGTTTCCGCTGGTGTTATGGATAAATAAATAAAATTGAGGGAGGCTCGTGGAAATTTAATAATTAATATTTAATTAAATTAAATTGAAAGAAACTTCGTGAGACATCGCACTCGCATGCCTTGCCTTGAGTGGGAACATGAAATATGGCCGTTGTTGTACGCGTTAGGGACACGTGGCTTTCTTTTTGACTGACGCGTGTATGAACGTGAACGTTCTCGATTCCTCCAACGGTGATGGATGAATTTGGAGATGTTGTAAGAATATATATGCCTCTCTCTCTTGCTTTTTCCTAAACGCTATATTTTTTTTCTTCAAGTTGCTCAAAAAAGGAAGTCCAAACTCAAGAGTTCAAATAACTATAACTATGGTTTACGTGTACAAGTTGTTGTTTATTATCATTAATTTTTTTAATGATGGAACGGGTCTAAGAGAAAAAAAAAAACAAAAGTAGTACAGGTAATGTGGGTTGGGACGGTATGAACCGTTATATTTTCATAGAGCATGGGATTTCCTTATTTATCTAATTATATTTATGTCTTTGAAGTTGAGTTATGAATTATGATGATTGCAATGCCAGGAGGTTACGTATAGTTGAATGAGAGAGAGGGATGATTAGGTTAACACTTGCAAAGTGGTAGGTAACTAACGAACATTCATTTCAAATTTTATAAGTTCCCCATTCAGCATTTCACGTGCCCATATGCTCTCTACTGTACGACTTTCAAGTTTCCATCTTATTCACCTGACGTGTTTTTATTGGGTTTAACACTAAGGACACGTTGTAGCTTGACGAATTTTTATTTCACAGATAGCAGAAGAAATTAACTATGAAAATATATCTTCCAACGTGTCTGTGTTCTTGTTACTATGAAGTATGTAAATAGAATTGGGTGAGTAAATCAAGCAAACTATAAACGTGGAACACATAGCTTCTAGCTATTGTTAGGGTTATCGATATAATTCTTAAAATTAATATAATAACTTACACTAAAAAATGTTAATATAATACCAACCAATTTAATCTTTATTTAATATTATAAAAATTTAATTTCTATAATATTGATATTTATCAATAACTTTATTGATCAATTTAATATATAATATTTTCTAAATTTAACAGTCATTAATCAATTTAATCTTTAAGTTAGGAATTAAATTAATCAATGTGCATTTTGCTCAACACAAGTTCAAGAGAAAGTGATTATATATCCCAAAGTCTTAGTGTACCGTCCCAGTCGGATCCCGATCTGATACTCTTTATAGGTTTTGATCCGATAAATCTTGAATATGGGTCTTCTTGGTCGGCAGACGATCTAACCTCTCACATGGGTAAGATCAGTCGAACCGCGATCTCACCCACCCCCTGGACGAACTCGACCTGGGTAAGGTCGGCCAGGGTGCGCTCGACTATGGTGAGATCGGCCAGGCTGTGCTCGACCATGGTGAGATCGGCCAGGATGTGCTCGGTCATGGTGAGATCGGTCAGGCTGTGCTCGGTCATTTAAATAATACCGTGTATCTATCACAATTTGAATTTCAATTGATTACACCTATTCTCACATAATTGATATTTTATATAAAATGTTATTTTCATCAATTGAACTATTGAAATGTAATTATATTTTAATAAAATTGAACAGTAATAAATTGATAATTAAACTATTCTTATTTTCATAAATTTTAATATATATATATATATATATATATATATATCATGTTAATTTAGAATAAACTGAATTCAAGGTAATGAGAACGAATAAGTAATTTGATTTCTAAATTTTTTAGTTTATTATAAAGAACCATGTACCAAAAAAGATGATGTATTAAATTGGTAAATACGAATATATACATGTTAATTAGTAATTTAACATGCACAATTTTTAATTGAAACTGAAAATTAAAATTTCAAGTAGATTATGCTTAAAAATCATTTTATTATTTTATATTAAATAATTTATTATTTATTAATATCATCCATTTAGAAATAATTTTAATTAATTAATAGTCTTAAAAATTAAATTATAGAGGTGGATTTTGTACTGTAATATTATTCTCCATTATTTGATCTCCTTTTTATCAATTAAACTATTGGAATATAATCATATTTTAATAAAATTGAATTATATATATCATGTTAATTTAAAATAAACTGGATTCAAGGTTATGATTTTTAAATTATTTAATTTGTTATGAAGAATCACGTACCCAAAAAGATGATGCATTGAATTAGTAAATATGAATATACATGTTAATTAGTAATTTAACATGCTCAATTTTTTAATTGAAACAAAATTAAAATTTCAAGTAGGATTATGCTTAAAAAGCATTTTATTATTTTATATTAAATAATTTATTATTTATTAATATCATCCATTTAGAAATAATTTTAATTAATTAATTAATTAATAGTCTTAAAAATTAAATTATAGAGGTGGATTTTGTACTGTAATATTATTCTCCATTATTTGATCTCCTTTTCATCAATTAAACTATTGGAATATAATTATATTTTAATAAAATTGAACAGTAATAAATTGATAATTAAACTATTCTAATTTTCATAAATTTCAATATATATATATATATATATATATATATATATCATGTTAGTTTAGAACAAACTGAATTTAAGGTAATGAGAACGAATAAGTAATTTGATTTCTAAATTATTTAGTTTGTTATGAAGAACTATGTACCAAAAAGGATGATGCATTAAATTGGTAAATATGAATATATACATGTTAATTAGTAATTTAACATGCACAATTTTTAATTGAAACTGAAAATTAAAATTTCAAATAGATTATGCTTAAAAATCATTTTATTATTTGTTAATAGCCCTACAATCACAACATATTCTCCATTTTTCATCTTTCTTAGGAACTAACAACACAGGGACTCAAACTCTTTTGTACCTAACTCTTGTCCAATAACTCTTGAACTTGGTTCTCTATTTCCTTGGTTTCTTGTGGATTTGTCCTATAAGCAGGCCTATTTGGTAGGCTAGCCCTAGGTACAAAATCGATTTGATGTTCTATACCCCTAAAAGGTGGAAGGCTCTTTGGACCCTCACTAGGGAATACATCATCAAATTCTTTTAATAATTGTGTGACACCAAGTGGTAAAGAACTAGGTTCAAGGTTTAAATTATGACACTTAAGCACACTTCTACAAAGAAGAACATAAGAAGGCTTTTCAACAAGAAGTGTTTGTTTAAGAATTTTTTCTTGTTGAAGTCCTTCTAAAGGAGAAATGTTTTCTTCCTTCTTCTTCTTTATAGACTTATGCTTTTTTTTTTCTTTTCTTTTCTTTTTTTTGCAACTTTTTCTCCTCTTCTCTTTTAATTTCATTTGTACTTGATCTTCTATCACCTTTGAAGGAGATAAAGGATGAAATACAAACTTCTTTTCTTTGTGAATGAAAGTTATCTCATTAGTGAGACTATTATGCATAGTTCTTTTGTCAAATTGTCATGGTCTCCTTAATAAAATATGGCAAGCCTCCATATGAACTATGTCACAAACCACTTGATCTTCATAGTTGCCTATGGAAAACTTAACTTTCACTTGTTTATCCACAATGATGTCCCCATCTTCATTTAACCAATGAAGTTGATAAGATTTCGGATGGGGAATTGGCATTAGGTTTAGCTTCTCAACCAACCTAGTGCTACAACAGTTGCAACATGAACCACTCCACAATTAGAGAACAAGATTTATCCAAAAAGTTACACCTTGTGTGAAAAATGTTCTCTCTTTGTGAAACATGTGACTCACTAGGTTGACTTCATAGAAGCCTCCTAATCATCAAAAGTTGACCATCATAAGGATAAGCATTTTCAACTTGATAGTCTTCATCACTAGAGTCACTATCACTTGTAGTAGTTGAACTAGATTCATCATGACTACTATAAATGTCTTGGCCCCTTAAAATCATGATTTTCTTGTTGGAACATTGAGAAGCTATACGGCCTCTCCCAAGACATTTAAAACATTCAATGTCACTAGTTTTGCTATTAGAAGTGATAACATTTTTACCTTTTTCTTTTTCTTTTTCTTGACCTTTGACAAATTTTTTAGAGGAATCATATTTGGAAAATTGACCCTCCCTCTTGTAGTCTTTCTTAACATAAGAAGTAGAGTGAGTTTTATCTTTCTTGAAAGAATTTTTCCTTAAATGTTGTTGTTCCACCCTTATACAAAGTTGAACCAAATCATCAAGGTCCCTATAAGGGAGTAACTCCACTCTATCTCTTATATCAAAATTTAGACCATTCAAAAATCTAGCAATGGTCAATCTTTCTTCTTCCCTTATCTCAACCCTCATTAAATACAACTCCATCTTTTGTCTATACTCTTCCACACTCATATTCTTTTGTTGGAGTCTTTGGAGCTTATCCATAAGCTCTCTACTATAATAAGAAGGTACGTGCCTTCTTCTCATAGCACTCCTCAAATCATTCCAATACTCAATGGGTGGATCATTATGGAGTCGCCTTTCTCTAACTAAAGTTGTTCACCAATACATAGCCTGTCCTTGGAAAGTTGAGGTGGCTAAGGGAACTTTTCTTTCTTCCCTTACTTGGTGACAAGTGAAGATTTGCTCCACTTTCATTTCCCAATCCAAGTAAGCATCCACATCCTCTTTGCCATAAAAGGAAGGGAGATCAACTCGTGATTCCCTAACCTTTGGCTCTCTTATGACCCTTCTAGGAGTAGGTTGATAGTATTCATCTAGATTTAAACTTCCTACTTCCTCTTGGCTTGTGGAGCTATAGGAACTTTTATGGCTTTTCTTTTTTTGTTTTAATTTTTCCAAAAGTTTTGCTTCTCTTTGCTTAACCTTTTGTACTTCCTCCTCGAGTAAAGCAAGTTGTACTTCTCTTTCAATTCTTTCTTTTACTTCTTGCTTCCTCCAAAGTTTTAGTGATTTCAACTCTTTAGCAATATGAGAAAAACTTTTTGGAGAGTCCAAATCACTATTACTTTGAGAGTGATTACTCATGGTCAAGTTTCAAG